GGGGATGCAGAACGACCAAGGAAAATGGGGCTGCAACAACATTAGTGAGGCACAAAATCAAATGCAAAAGTATCATACACACCTCTTCGAAACGGAGGCGACACATTGGGAACAAAAGGCAGCCTGTCAGCCATTTGGTATTGAGGGTGGGAGGGAGCAGACAGCTGGAGAAGGTAGGCATAGGCAGTTGAGAGCTACACCCTTGCAGAGGCCTGGCAAAACCAAGGTGCCTGACAAGCCGTGTAGTTTCTCAACTGCTGGAGAAACAAGCAGGTCGGCATTGATGTGTTGACATTGAAACATTGATGGTTCACATTGATGCTGTGGCTTTGTTTAGGTGTGTTGATAACTGCCACCATCCAAACATGTCAGTTGCATCGTTGCGTCTGTCCAAACACGGATGTGTCATTCCAAGTTCAACGTTCCTCATTGACATGTTTATATATTACTGTAAATTTCAAATACTTTTCAGAAGAGTATGGACAAATAAAACCACAGTAGTGATAAGTAACATGTGCTGCTACATACCTGTAATCGTTTAGCCTTTAATTCTGGAAGATTGGCTACATATCAAAAAAGCAGGGACAGGTCTGAACTGTCTCTTGGATGGGACTGGATCGTCTTTTTTCAGGTTCACCAATGTTTCTGTATGGTTTTCGCTGGCAACTCACGCATTTCTACGCTAAAATTGACCACCCAGTGGGGACCTTCTCAAGGCAAAAAAGACAATTCAAAGCTCCCACAGGACAGTTCAGTCCAGGGCACTGCAGGGTCTTTGTCACAATTACAGTCGTGGACAAGCAAAGCCCACTAATAAAAATGGAAATGTATTAATGGCTACCAAAGTGCCCAGAAAACGTGCAGATACGTTGAGGGAAGCTTCTGGCCAAATTTCAGCCAAGTCTCACAAGCTGTTTTGGAGAAAATGGCCATATACAGAAATAGACCCTAAAATTTTGGCCAGACACCAAAAAGTGCCAAGAAAAATATGAAAAATAGTGGAATCGCTTCCTTTCATGGAGAACAATCTGCCCATCAAATTTCGAAACAATTTATCAAGTGGTTCTTCTGGAACAAATTGCCAAACATTGACCCAAATTGGGCACTTAGTCACTTTTGATGTGACATCTATCACAGGACTAAGAAATTCCATCACACTAGGCTTTCTCAATGCAGGGAAACAACAGGGAAATCCCTTTCTGATAGAATCTTTGCCCTTTCTGAGTAGCTTCCAGCCGAAGCCCAGCACAGGTGACAACTTTCAATAATTTCTGGCCAGTTTCAACCTGTTTTTCTCCTTAAATGTTGCAGTTTTTTGGTCGAAATTTTTGGCCTGTGACGCCCCACTTCAGATCATCTTTTTCGCTGTTCGCAGCTTTACTTCCCAACCAAAACAAAAAAAAGTTGTTGTTCAGGATTTGTCGGAGTTTTCTAATTAGGCATCACAACTGGTTCTAACTTGTTGTGGATGTTCCTATCAAAATGGCCGTTATAAACAGAAACAACCAAAGAGTTTTTAGTCACAATTTTGGTCCCATCCAGGGTGACAACTGGTTGCAACAGAGCTTGTGACATGATTGTTGCATGATTGTAGCCAATTTTGGGCTAAAAAATAGAAAAATAGGCAACTTTCAACAGTTAGCACTGTTTAGAACGCCGATTCAATGCCGTCCCAATGTCAGGCTTGTCAGCTGGTTGTGACGAGAGAATTAAATCTCCGACAGGATTGGTTCAGGATGCCTACTAGAATTTGAATTGTGAGATCGGACTTCAATTTTTAGCAGGTTTGAAGCGGAACCACTTCCATGACATCGCACTAAAAGTCTGCTGGAGTCTGACATTTATTCTCCAGAGTCCAAGTTGAAGTTGAGTTGAAGCTTGGTTGAAGCGCCCCAAGTGAAGGTGGCGTTTGTCGATGAAGTGGTTGTTTACTTTGTCATATGAAGACAAACTTGCAACAATAGTAAACAATACTCCTTTCGTTCACTCCGCTGTTCAATGCTTGCGTGGAGGGCCGCCACAAGGCCAACAAGCTCTCTTAGCCGCAATTTCCAAGCCCCAAGGCGACGGATAATACACAACGCGTCCTTCAGCGCCAGGCCAGCCGGTTTAGCTTCAAAATTTTTCTTCAGGAAGGATGGAACTCCGAGGTCTAAAGTAAAAGGTCTGGTCATCGGTACGTGCATCGCATTGCTACTCGGCGGTTACTTAGAAGTTTCAAATTTGGGGGTAACTCGTGAATTTAGGTGCCGCAGCCTTTCAACGCTCACGTTGAT